TACTTTGTATGTAGCCCCATTAACAAGTGAAGAACAAAACACATAAAATTTCTATAAGCCGTTTAAATTTAATTCCTTACACAATGGCTAGTAGTATGAAATTCATATCCATCAAGTTTTAATTTTAAATAACAAGATTTTGATGGAAATTCCATTTCATCATAAAGTCTACTAAAATAATTCCACAATTCCATATCTAATCCAAGAAGTGAAATTGCTTCATTCTTTAACGAATAAGAAAATTATGGATATTTTTCTGTACTTTCAGTTTGAAAAATGTTAATCAAGTATTATCAAAGTATTATAGAAACTGGAATAAAATTTGGGTGAAAATTTGGGGTCTGTTAGTTTTAATTTAAAACAGGTAATCTTATTATAAAATTCATTAAGTTTTAATGGCAGTCCATTTTCAAATTCATCAATTTACGAGTCATCTCCTGTCTCCAACCTTATTTAACCTCCTCCCATAAATTTTTTAAATGAAATTTGAAAAATATTTTTAAAGAGCCCTTGATAAACGACACAAAAAGCAAAATAATTTAATACCCCTTCAGCAATCATTTGAAAACTATTTTCTTTGTGGCCATCTCTTTTACTAAATAACAGATTAATTCTATATTTCGCACTTGACGAATAATCCAATTTTTTCCCGGTAATTCCAGTTAACGTAGCGAAGTGTGTGTCTTCATTGCCAAGTTTAATTGTGAAGATTGTAAAAGTTGCGTTAGCTTTTGAGGGAGGTTCCATAAATCCGGTTGTTTTGTTAACCAGTCCAGTGATGGTCACAGAATTTTGAAAGGAGAAACTTAGAAATATTTAGTTTTAAATAATGTAAGTGTAAAGCATATAGCCTTTAATTCCTAAGATTGTGCAGTAGGCTGCGATGTGTAATGGCTAACACATCATTTCTGAAGATGCTGGTTCGCTCCCAGCCGCCGATTAACCTTTTGCACTAGCGAAAGGAGAGAAATAGCTATAGATCAGCTGGTTTACTATTAATTATTTTAATATCACCTTTTATGTGTGAAAGAAAATCCAATTTTTGAATAAACATTATATTCAATTTTATATTCATTTCTATCATTATCACGTTTAAAAGATTTCCTTCTAGCACAAACACGCATTTCTATTGCATGTTGTCTTGGTTTTTTACATTTATTGACAAAGCCGCTTTCTTTATTTTTGAGCTGTTTTTAACAAATCTTTAATCAAAAATTTTCAATAAATACCTCAATCCGTTCATCATCCCCTTCCAATTTTGAATTATAGCATATAATAAATGTTGACCACATTTCCCTTTAAAATTTGAATGGATTACTTACTAATTAAATTTAAAGTTTTTTACTCTTCGCATTCCTCGTTATAATCTTTTTCAACAGTTTTACATCCTTTATCAGCATCATTAACATTCACTTTTTCAAAGTTCCGTGGCAAACATCCAAGCTCATATATATTTGCAGATAACTCCAAGACATGTGGAGCATAGTTCAATTTCCGTTTATAGAAATCCTAAAAATTAATTTATAAGACTAAAACAAAAGGCTCTCTAGTTTGGGAGCCCCGATTAACATTTTTTTACATCTCTAATCTGATTTTACGCCTATACAGATTGATGGTAATTGAATATATAATTATTTTTCTACTTATTAACTAAAAATGTTAGCTTTGCTTTGATTCGAACTTGCAAAACTTGAGTTAATGTTTAGCCAAACGGGCAGGAACCTGCGACTTTGTTTAAAGTGCTTTCTAGGCTTAGTTTAGGCCCTTACAAATTAATTGTGACTGATCTAATAACATAGAAAAACTTTTACTTCAGCTCAAAATCACTCCCTCCCTCGCCCTCACAAAAAAAGTTCAACTCAGTCATTACTAAAACATTAAATATCTAATTAAACTATACCACGTCGACAGGGCATCTATTCATCTTTTTCCAAAGAAATTGGCGATCAGTTGGATTTGCCTGAATGTTTTTAGGTTTTCCCAGCATAATATCCAATTTCAAGGCAAAAATGCCAGGATAATCATCCAACAAAGGCATTGGATTTTTATCAGCATTGAAAAATTCTTTATCAATTTTACTAGCTGACAAAATCTTTCCTTAAATAAAAATATTTACAATTTGTTGGAATTAATTGAGAAGTCTCTCTCACCTTTGTGTGAGTTATCCTTGTCTAGTAAGTAATTGAAAAGTACCGATGGAGTGGTATCGTGTAGGTAGATCCAATCACTGTAAATTAGTGTCATTATAGAGATCGACGGGTGATGGGAACTGCCCATTTAATTCGAACACATTATTTCTTAATTCTCAAATCTAATATAAAGAATTACTTTATTAAAGGGTTATTCTACAAAAAATACGAGACTTGATGCCATCATTGAACCGTTATTGGTCCTATAATAAACCTTAGAGGGATCATCGTTATCAGGGATTCCATTTGTCGATCCAAAGTTAGCTTTTAACAAATCAAACAATGAAAATTTTTCTATTTTTTGCTTTAGGATTAATACCAAATCCTATTTATGTAATATAGTTTGGGCTCCAATTTAAAAAACCAACTCTTTAAGGAATATATCAGCAAAAATTTCAACATCATTTTTTCCTTCTTTAAAAATCAGGAATCCGTTCCAAGGAATATTTTTAAGCTTTTCAAATTCCTTCGTTTCCTTTAACGCGTTGAGGCAGAGATCACTTCCACCTTTTTTTGTAAGTTCAAAGGCCTTGTTAAATTTCCAATTTTTTTCCGAAATAGGAGAAAGTTGGCTGGGGTAGCAGAATAAAATTCTGAAATTTTAATTAATTAATCTTTTTTATAACATAAATATCACGGTCCCAAAAATGGAGCATTTGTTTTAAAAATCAAAGTTAATTATTTACCCGCTACACCCAGCCACATCATTAACCGGCATTTTATCAGCATTAATGTCCTTCTCCATTAGTACTTTAACAGTACTTATGGGCTCGAACATTTTGTCGTTTATGGAGCAATTTATTAGAAAAATTCGAACACAAAAAACCATTAAAATGGCTAATAATGCCTGTAAAGGCATTATAACCATTTTTTAGAAAATTCTGAAAATTTAATAATTTTTTTCCAGGATTTAATCTTCTTATAAATCTACCATGAGAACCGATAGGGAATATACGTTATTACCTCTAATAGAATGCCCGGGTTTTCTATTTTTCACATACCTTCCAAAAGGGCATTCTATTCAATTTTATTTAGAGATAGGAAATTTTTAAAATCACATTTAAAGTCGAATTTGAAGCGAATAATTCGAGTTCAAAAATTAACTGTTTTAGAATAATTTAAAAATCAAAAATCCGAGAATTAAGGAAAATTTTGAGGTTTAAGCAAGTGGGTTATGGAGGATTAAGAAGGGGATTATATCAGATATTAAGAGTGATATTAATGAGTAAGAGGCTAAATTTATTCATTTACTATCAGTATAAAACTGCTAACGAATATGTAAATTAAAAAAATAATTTATCTAAAGCTAATCTATAATGAAAACTAAAAATATGTGTTAACAGAAAATTTAATATTAGTATGCACATAAATAAATTTATTTATAAAACTAAAAAAATCAACAGAAATATGATCAACAGATAAACGATTAAATAGTTTAAAAATTTAAAAATTCATTAAATAGATAGAATAAATTAACTAAATTTTTTATACTAGCTAAAAATGCCTTTAGTCACTATAACCATCTTAACGAAAATCTAAGAAAATTTCTAATATTTAAACTTATATCTAGTTATAAACACACTATAGGGACTGACCACAGACGGATGTACCATTATATTTTAAGAAATGACGATAATGATATGGAAAATCTTAGCTGTAGGATAGCTATATAATCGTTTATGTGAACTTATCAAATGAAGTTGTAACCGAATATATAAATTAAATTATTTAAAAACTAAAAATTTATCTATTAAAATTGTTTAAAAATATAAATCAAAAAATAATTATTCTAGCACCAACATGAAAAAATTAAAGATGATAGAAAATTGAAATTAAAAAAGGCAATCAACAGTGTGTGTGTGTGGTCAAATAACAAAGTGTTGATGACTAAATTTATAAATTCAAAAAAAAATTTTATAACTAGATGGAGGATATAAATTTACAAATAAAGTAAAAATTAATTAGCTAGTTTTATTAATTTTATTAGTAAACTATTTAGTAGTATTTGATAATTAGACGAATAATCTAAACGTTTTTAATTTTTTTATTTAATTTTCGAATTCTGTTTATAAAAATAAATTATTTTTTTGTGCTCAATTTGGAAACTTTCAGGAAAATTTTGTCTAAAAATATTAGAGTATAACACAAACATAAAGAAAAATTAAATTTACATATAAACAATTTTATTTAAAAATAAAGCCGGCAATTTTATATTTAATAAAATTGTTGATTTAATCAAACTAATGCTCAATTTATTTATTAAATTCTTCTTAATTTCCTTTATTTAATAAGCAGATTAGATTAATTACTTTAAAATTTTCCAAATATAAATTGGTGAGATAAAACTGCCCAACTGAAATTTACAATTTTAAATCTATGAGAGTAAATAAAAAGTTTCGTCTCTAAATCATTTCAAAAATTGTCTTCTACAGAACAACAAGGCAGAGCAACATATGGCTTATCGAGTTAGAATTGTCCTTTAATAATATAGCTTTACCTTAACCCTCAAAATATTTATAATTCAACTTTGTTTAGATTTTACCAATTTTTCCCCATTAGTAGAAATCGCTGAAATTTAGTGGTATTTCGCTTTTTAATTGGAAAATGGCAAATAATTGATAAAAAAATATTTTCCATTTTTGGGTTGATTTTAGGCTTGTGTTGCTTTTTTTTTGAAATTTTAAATAAAATATATAGAATTTAAAGACCAATAATTTAATAAAAAAAGAAAGTATTTATTTAAAACACAGAAAATTGGTTATTTTAATTGATAAAATCAAAATGAGTAAAATCAAAAAACAGATTAAAATTTCAATAAAATTCATTAAGAATTGAATGTTTTGAAATATCATATTCAAATGGTTTAGTCTCCAAATCATTTCCAAAATTAGCTTCAACAGAACAACAGTTCAAAAAAACACGCGGTTTATATGAATCGAAATTGTCCTTTAATAATACACCTTTACCTTTAAAAAACAATTTTTGTATGTTTATCTTAATAAATTAATTACCAATTCGATTTCCATTTTGTGTAAAGAAAATACGAGGAAATTCATTCGTCATATTAGTTGGAGGATAAACTATGCCACAGCCAAAAATATCATTATTATTCCAAGTAGAAGATGAAAATTTAAATAATACTTCTTTCTCGTTATTTATTGTACCAAATTTTGCCGAATAGAAAATACAATTGGTCGTACTGCAATTTCTAAGACCAATACTCATATATAGTTCTTTTTCAAATTTACATTTAACTTCAAAATAATATAAAGAATAATTTAAAAAATTTTGTGGCTTTATGAATGAATTTTCAGCCACAATGAATGAATTTTCATTTCTACCCATCTATTTTTAATTCTAATAAGTACCATATTATTCAATAAACTAACCACAGAATTTAAATTATTTAATTTAAAAAAATCGCTAATCTTTTTGTCAATCAAATCATTAGCCTTTATTAAATTAAATTTTAATTAAAAAATATTTTTTATTTTAGTTTTATTAAAAATATTTAAATCATTTTCTTTTAAATTAATTTAAATTTAAAAGCTTAAAAGTTTAATTGGAGAAAGTATTTTTTAAAGGAACTTGTCAACATATTAAATCATTAAAATCTCAACACGTTTGGAATATATTTCGTATATGAAGCGACGAGAAAATCAAAACCAAAAATCTTTAAGACAAAAGATAAAATAGGAGAAAAAACAGGACTCAACTAAAAATTAACTCTGGATATTCGAAATTTTACAGCTCCGTCTCGGAATTTTTAAAATTTTGACATTGTTAGTCTTTTTAAATTTAGTTTTTAGTAAAAACTAAATTAATTATTTACCTTTTTAATTTCAACTTCCAAAGAATTAATTTTCTCATCTTTTTGCTTTAAATCTTGCTTTATTCCTTCCATCTCGTTTTTATTTTGAGAATTTATTTTCTAAATTTTTTAAAATTATTTTCAAAAATATTCAAAAAATCCAAACTTTTAATTCGACTTCCAAATTAACATTCTTTTCCTTCTCTTCATTAAATTTTAATTCAAGATTATTAAAATTAGTTTGAAGTTTAATTAAATCATTGCTTTGGTTATGCAACTAAATAATTTTTGTAATTTTTGAAATTATTTATTTTTTAAATTTACTTTTAATTCCAAATCAGAATTTGAAATGTGATTTAGTTTATAGTAAGAAATACCTAGATTAATTATTATATTTACCTTTTGAATTTTTAATTCCAAAGAATTAATTTTTTCATCTTTTTGTTTTAAATTCTCATCGTTTTCAGCTTTTAAAATTTTAATTTCTTTTTCATGTTCAGAATTTATTTTTAGGATCTCCTTAAAATATTGAATTTATTGAGCTATTGGCATTTTATTTTTAAATTATCTTTAGACTTAATAGCAAGACGAACTAAAAACAAAGTGGATTTGGGAATAACTGAATTGCCAAACTCTTTATTTGGGAATATAGAATACAGTGAAATTTTTATCCTACATTGCGATGTAGAACAAGAAATTCCAAAAATGAGTTTACTTCCCCGACGGGTTTTCAACATTCTTATACATAAATCTCGGTCCGCAGGCATTTCTGCACCAAAAAACTTAGGGAAGAAAAAAGGGAACCCTAAACCTTTGTTTAACCTTTAAAATTTGAAAAAAATATGAAAAAAGAACTTGCATTTTGAAGTCTTAAGCCGTGATTTTCCAAAGATAAATCTAATTTCAACTAAAATGTAAATTTATTTTTTAAGATACCTTCGTATAGAAAAAAGAAGGGTAAAATGAAACTGTAAATTACAGAATCTCGCTTTGTGTGTCATCCTTAGGACAGAAAAATCTGCCGTGAGTTGTCGTACGTATGAGATCCGTAGGTCAAGAGATCAGGAATTATGAAGATTTCCCTTCAACCCTCAAAATCACCAATATACTTTTTAATCCCCTATATCCCTCGAAATCGATCTTTTTAAATTTAATCCCTCCTGATTCCCCGATTAAACTGATAGAGAACTAAAAAGTAAAATATGGTGCTACAAAAGGGGGTTGATTCTTCAGGGGTGGATTTGTATTCACTATAGTAATTCAACACAAAATCTCTTTTAACCTCTAATTTCTTCAAACGTTGTTTTAAACTTCCATTTATATTTTGTGTTGAACAAAAAGAACTACTACATATAGTAGACAAACCATCAATACTCGATGTTTCCAAACAACTTTTCTCTGTTAAATTATCTTCTTCATCAACAAGTGTTTCATCTCCAATTTTATTTTTAATATTATCAGAATTGGTTGTCGAGAATGACCATTCTTCTATTTGTTTTGGTGTTTTCATATTTATTAAAAATTATCTTCTGAAAATATTCCGTTATATGTATGTATACCCTAAAATTAAGTGCTTTCCAAATGTGAGCGGCTATAGCTTTTTTATGCCTGATCAAATTCCAATGAATTTTATATCATTCGAAAGCCCACTCGATGCTCAGATTTGATCTATCCAATTAGTAAAAAGATATAATTTTATCAAGGGTTTTCGAATAATATAAACATCATTTGAATTGGATCAAGCCCGAAAGTTATAGCCGATCAAGTTAGGATGTCACTCAATTTGTTGGCATATGTATTACGGATAAGTACCAATAAATTTGGTTAAATTTTTAAAATAAAAGATCTTTTTAAAACAGATACTTCAAAGAGAATTGAACAAGTTATTTGTTTTATGGATTTATATAAATTAATTTTTTCTTAACATAAATTAAATGTCATAGTGAGTTTAAAAACATAACTTAATAAAGAATAAATATAATGATTGAAAGGGTTTATATTGAAAGATTTTTTTGCTCAATAGACAGTTTTGTTGTAAAATTTATTATGGAACTTGAAACTATTTTTTATGAGAATATTTGTTGAGGGAATATTTTAAAAAAAATAAAAGATAAGAAAATGCTTTGAAGAGGAATTCAGACGTAAATTTTAAGAAAAAAACTCATGCACAAACAAATTGTCCTTTTTTCCTTAACATATATTACAAAAAACTGGGTAATTCCAAGGCTGGTCCCCCCCTTTTTTTCCTTTCTATTTTTTTTCGATTTTTTAAACTTTTTATGGCAAATTATATATCGTTCGAAAGAGCTCTTCAAGCTGAGTCGAACGGTACTAAATTCATCGAAATCCGACTTAAATAAACATAGTTATGAGCATTTGTTTTAATCCCTTTCAACATCACAAAAAGCATGTCCATCGAGGATTTAGCTTCATAATACTGTTCAGAATCTCCAAATCGAACCGATCATAGTATCTGTCATAGTTAAGGAAAATTATTTAACGCCCATTTTTAATGCCCCATAAAAGGCGAGAAAGAACTGGCCAAATAAGTTCATTCGCCAATCTCAACACCGACTAAAAGTTGGCCGGTTCTTTCTCCCTTATATTCTATTAAATATATTTGTTGAATAAAAGTTAAAAAGAAAGCTTTCCTTTTACTTGGTGGATCGGCGCGCCCCAAGGGTGGGTTACCACTCTTGGGGCCCAACGTCGACTAACCCCCTGAAAAAGGGGTTAGGATAATAATAGTATCATTCTACTCAGCTCGAACAGCTCTTTCGAATGATATATTGTAAATAATATGTCAAGCAAAAAAGACCAAAATGGTCAGGCGAACAGAAAAAAAAGGGGGGGGGGGACCAGCCTTGGAATTACCAAAAACTGTCTCTGGGCAAAAGAACCTTCAATATTTGAATAAATACATATAAATATGTATTAATCTTTATATTTTAAAATTATTTATGTACTTTTATTATATATATTTCTTCATAAAGTTAAAATTTTGATTTAAAAAGATTTTAAATTAATTATTTTTTGGAAAATTAGCTTAGCTTATCCTTTTAATTTACCAGAATATAAAATCACCACCAAAATTCATAAAACAATCTTCTAGTTTTTCGATACTTATCTTAAAGATTAATTAAAAATGTTTGAATTTAAAAAATGGAAATGTTAAAATACGGTCTTATCAGTTGGTACGTGTCAGGACGTTGGTACGTGTGTGTGACGTGTCTATTTCCGTGATTTAAAACAACGTTTGAAGAAATTAACGGAACGATAAGTCACGGAATTACCAAATCACTGAATCACCTAAATGAAAAATATTTTAAAAATCAGAATTTTTTTAAATTCTGAAAAATTCTGATTTTCAAAATATTCCATGTTTTGGCCATTCCCTAAGTTGGTCGTTCCGCGACGTGTCTATTCCGTGATTAGGAATTCTTCAGGTTGACCCTCACCCTTTCGGTAAGATTGAGTTGTCTTTTCCGTTCAGTGTTATAGCATGACACGATTAAAATTTATTTTTATATCAAAAAAACTTTGCGTAGATTAATTTTTAATTTTACACTCGAATCTTTCTTTAATATACAGCGATTTTCAGATTTAATTAATTTATTTTACAAAATGACTGAAGAAGGATTAGAAACTTCTGATTTGGAATTAAAAGTAAAATTCTTTAAAATTAATTTTGAAAAAATATTTTTTTAAGCTAAATACACGAATCGATTATTTAATAAAACTTCATACAGAATTTAACAATCTTCAAATAAAATTTAATGAAGAGAAGGAAAAAACGGCTAATCTTGAGAAGAAAAATAATTTTTTAGAAAATGAATTAAATGAAATGAATAAAGTTTGTTATTTAAATCTAGATAAAGAAAAAACTCCGTTAACGAGTTTCCACACAGTGGGAGGTGCATAGACCAAAATATGCACCGAATTGTAATATGCAAGAGGACCGAATCATACAAATAACGTATCCTCTCTAAAATAAGCCCCCACCATAATAATATTTAATTGAGTAATTGTAACTTGATTTGAATTCCCATGGAGGGATGATTAAGAGTTTTTGTTGAATAACATGTATAGTATATAAAAGAGTTAAAAAGACATGTTTAATCCTTGGAGATATCCAAGTATTAAAAGGAATTTGATTGGATTTCCAGGGATTTTGTGTATAATGTTTGGTAGTAAATTTTAATTTTCGAAAACATTAGGCAACGAAAAAATAACCGGCTTAAGAAGCTCCGTTAGATACCATCTCACATTTTTGCCACTCTCACTTACATAGGATTTGATTTTTCTGTACTATAGGATTTTTGTGTATTAACCTGCAGAATGTTTCCAATGATGTATATTTTTGAGAAATTAAAAAATTTTTTGATATGTATATCAGGGGTGTGCCGAAAGTGATTTTAAAAAGCGAAAGGCGAAAATGCGAAAGTCCTTTAAAAAAGCGAACGGCGAAAGACGAAAGTCCAAAAAAGGCGAAAATCTGCGAAAGGCGAAAGACGAAAGGCGAAATTTTTCAATT